AAACATGCCTCGGGAAGACGCTGAAGCAGACTTCAACTATGTCATCACGTTCATCAACGCAGCAACAAGATACGTCTGGCACTACAACCTTAAGACGCGCGATCAAGCCTTCGACGCCTTCACGACATGGCTACCCATCGCCGAACGGGAATCAGGAATCAAGCTCAAGAGCTTCCAGTCAGACGGTGCATTGGAATACCAGTCACAACGCTTCATGACCTATCTGGCGGAAAGAGGAATCAGACGCCTGGTGTCCCTGCCCTACGCTCACCAACAGCAAGGGGTCGCAGAACGCATGAACCGGACCTTGCAGACGACGATGCGGAAGCTGCTCCTGGGGATGAGACTGCCCACCACACTGTGGCCAGACGCGATGACACATGCAGTCCACCTGCACAACCTGTTGTCCTCGTCATCACTTCCCAACAACGCATCGCCGCACCTGCTGTGGACACGAAAAAGGGGCAGCACAAAATTACTTCGAGTTTTCGGTTGCATGGTACAGTACCGACCTCACACAGCCCGAGCAGGACGCTTCACTCAACGAGCTCGGTGGGGACTACACCTCGGCATCGCAAAACATTTTCACGCATGGAAAATCCTCGACATACAAGACAAAAATACAGTGGCATCACGTGACGTTATCTTCTACGAGCGACTGACGCTGCAGCATTACCTGGACAACATTGCCAACACACAAGACCCCACCGACGGCTTCGCGGGTCTTCGCTCCTTCGCCGACCGTGCTGCCGAAGCTGACGCAGCAGAAGAAGACGTACCTGGAGCCTCGGAAGCTGCCGGACCACTCCCTTTCTGTTCCGTACCTGTTCCACTCAACGAAGACAATCCCCTCGATAGTAACAACCTCGACACCTTTTACCACGTCGCTGACCAAGGTTACATTACACCCCACCCGGTAGACACAAATGTTTCAGAACGCATCGGCCCCAACTTCTTACCTGATCCAGAAGACGGTGACGAAGCAGCCTATTCCGGGAATGAAAATTCCCCTCGACACACACCCACGGGACTGCAGATACTCGGCCTATGGGTCTCCGTCCAGCATCCGCCGCCGCCATCTCCGCGCGAGCCCCCGACTCTGTCGCAGGCTCTAGGGGGGGAACATAAGGCGAAATGGAAGGAGGCGATGGAAAAGGAGTTAAAAGCTCTGCAAGACCGAAATACATGGAAACTGGTACCTGCAACAAGCATCAACGGGAAGAATGTCCTCTCGGGAAAATGGGTGTACCGCATCAAGACCAATGCCGACGGTTCCACCGAACGATTCAAAGCTCGATGGGTCGTACGAGGGTTCGATCAACGATACGGAACCGACTACACAGAAACATTCGCCCCAGTCTCCCGTCACACCTCATTGCGCATCCTACTCGCCGTCGCGGCCACGAAGAAACTACCACTGCGCCAAATCGACGTCGCAAATGCTTTCCTGTACGCACCTGTGGACGCTGAGATCTTCGTCGAACAACCCCACGGATTCATCGACGACCCCACGAAAGTATGTCAGCTGATAAAATCCCTATACAAGATCAAGCAAGCCCCGCGGCTCTGGCAGCAGCATCTTCACGGTCGCCTCGCAAAAATCGGATTTCTACAGCTGCCGCATGACCAAGGCATGTACCGACTGCAAAAGGGAAAAGAGTATATCCTACTCATCGTTTACGTCGACGACCTGCTCTACATCGGCTCCACTACCGACATCGCCACCTGGTTCGAAGGGGAGCTGAAAGAAGATTTGACGATCACGGTATCCGACGCAGTGACCCAGTACCTGGGACTGAATGTCGTCGAAGACAACTCAGCGTTCTACCTACACGCTGGAAAGTACGCAGGCACCGTCGCGAAGAAATTCGGTCTAACGCCGACTACGGTCCCGACTCCCTACCGATACGGGAACAACAACAGCACCTCCGCAAAACTCCCCGCGAAGCAAATCCAGGAATATCAACAGAAACTCGGCTGCCTACTATTCGCAGCAGTAACCTGCCGACCCGATCTCTCCTACAGCGCGAGCCAACTGGCGACGCATCTGAAGCAGCCGGAACAAGAAGATCTCGAGGAGCTCAACCAGGCACTACTCTACTTCGTCTCCACGCCAAAGACCGGACTTACCTACAGCAAGGTAACCACACCGTCCGTACGACTACTCGGATACGTCGACGCCGACCACGCGGGAGATAAGGAAAATCGACGATCCAGGACGGGCTACATCTACCGACTAGAACCTATCGGGACTATCTCCTGGCAGTCGAGCAAGCAGGAACTAATCGCACTATCTTCGGCTGAAGCAGAGTATATCGCCCTTTGCACTGCGACCAAGGAAGGACTCTACCTACGAGAGTTACTCGAGGAAGCGAAGATTGCGACCCTGCCCGCCTTCTCACTCCTCTGCGACAACCAATCTGCGATCAAAATTGCGAACAAGGATGGCTTCGCCAACCGAACCAAGCACATCGCCCTGCGGTACTTCTTCGTCAAGGATGAAATCGCGAAGGGGAGACTTCAACTCAGTTACTGCCCTACGACAGAAATGGCCGCAGACTATCTGACGAAGAAATTGGCGAAGGCGAAGTTCGATTACTGCATGCTGCTGACCGGACAGACAAACGTCACCGGATCTGAACACGTCAGCACTCCAGAAACGAAGGGGAGTGTTGGAAATATCTCAAAGGACTTAAGCGTTTCTGAAGTGTAACACTACACTTGAGGAAGATCGTAACGGGTACGCGAGTCAACGGAGGTTACACGAGGGGACGGACAAAGAACGCGAAGGGACTCGAAGGGTCGCATCGCAACTGGAGGTTGCAACTGACCGTTACAACTGCACGGACGGTAACCGAAGCGACAATCGAGTCGCTCTGCGACTCGATAACCGCTCCTGCAACTGTATTCTACAACTGTTTTACTTTCCTATTTTCTATATATTGCTGTATGCTTGTTTCTTTAACCAATCACTTGTTCTCATATACTAGTACAAGGGTTCAACTACTCAAACTTCCGCTGCATTACTCAAATCTTTTACAACTGGGACTTAGTCTCTGGAAAAGATCCTAAGGGCTTTTCTCAGCCCAACAGTAACAGCCAGTAAATTAGCCCACGTTCAGTTGCGCAATTTGTGTGCGCGTCGTCTGCTAACTGTTTCTAGCCACAAGAAGACAACACTTGGCTAGTCAGTTTTCGCGAATATAATATACTGCGAAATTTGAATGTGAGTGAAATCGAATGTTGTTTATAGATAGAGTTTCAATGTTTTGTCACTACAAATAATCTCCCCATTCTCTGGGATTTCGCCATTTTTGGACACGTGTTGAGAGATTTTGCCATGCAGCATCAAACTGAACAAAAAGTTTGACGCTGCTGATTTCGACTCGATAAAACATTGACTGAGATGAGAAAAGAGTGACTAAATCGGGGAAACGAAAAGTAAGAGTTACCCAGCGTATAATTTCCCCTGATCTTGCCCCCAGCGTCGGTTCGGGAGTTGCACCAACCTGGACGGTGTCTGTGGCAGGCCTCTCGATGTCCCCGAAGGACCCCCTGCAGAATCCGAGTTAGTCGCGCAACCAACTCGTCCAAGCTGGGTAACCCAAAAAAAGTTGACTGTTTTTGCAAGGCAGTTTCGGCGGTTTCCCGGCATGTGCAGGGTTTCAAGGTCGCGTTCACTTCTTTGAAGTGCACTGAACTTTTCCCTTCACCAATATCTACAAGTGCTCGGATGTTATTATAAGCCAAATTGTGCTAAAAGAAAAACCCAAACGATTGACTACAAGTGCAACCGCCACATCACCAATTTATTGCCTACTACAAAAAAATTACCCTACCCACAGATACAAATGCCCCACTTATATGAAGCACAGAGGCGTGGTCCAGGAAAACACGTTTCCCCAACCAAACCTCTTTGGGAAATCGAGCTTAGCTGAGAGAGGCTTGGTTGCGGGAACGAGTTTGGCTGAGAGAGGCTTCATTGGGGGGAACGAGTTTGGCTCTGAGGGGCTCGGTTGAGGGAAATGAGTTTGGTTCAGAGAGGCCTGGTTGGGGGAAATGTTTGGTTCAGAGAGGCTTGGTTGGGGGTAACGAGTTTGAGTTAGAGAGGCTTGGTTGGGGAAGCTGCAACATCCAATCAGGGTCTGGCGCACTTGCCGAAAACCCAAACGGGCCACTTGGGATTTCGGGAGCGGTTTTGCCCGAATCCCTCCCTCAACGGAGAAGAGGGGTTTCTAGCTGGGTAACCAGGCCTTACAGACGGATGCTACAGGGCGATACATTCCACTACTCGGAAATCGGACGTGGAATGTTGTTGCCTAGGCTGCTAGAGGACGTGTACTTCAAATCTGGATGCGTAGAAATCAGGGCAGTACACGAAAAGTACCCTGTTTTCCTTGAGTAAGCAGGGTAATTACCCTTCTATCGAGAGGCCTGGTCTGTGGCTGCTGATTGCACTTTTTCGTATGCCACCTCATCTTCCTGCTCTCATCACGTCCCACGCGTCTCGCCGTCGCGGCTGCAACGTGTTCATGCGATGCTCCCTCGACGCCATCTCCCTGCTCCGCCTCCCCAGCGAGATTCACTTTCACATGGCTCTCTCACCCTCACTCTCTCTCTCTCCTCGGGTCTAATTATTCAAGGGTGATTAGCCGTATTAGAGTTTTTCCGGGGTCAATTTCGGATTTTTTTACGAGGGACGTACACCGGGGTTCCGGAAAATATACAAGTGTGCTTGGGCCGGGTTCCTCCGGAAGAATCAGAATGCCCCTGTTGCCCAATCCGGAGAAATTTCCCCCCAAACCCCACACCCCAATCCCCTACCCTAACGTCCCCACCACCTCCTGCTATCTCCCGCCCCCTCCACCTCCCGCCATCCCCACCCCTCCCCTTCCACTGTCACCTCACTTCTCCCCTTACAACCGAGGCAGTCTCTCGAAGGCTCGAAATGAGCTGCCTTAGCATGTCAGTGGTGCGAAATCACTCAGCTGTAACTTGAGCCTTGATTCTGGAGTAAACAGAATTCGCCAAGTCCCCAACTCGGACGAGAATGAGTTGGGGTGGGGGGGGAACTCGGGTGAAACAGACCCTCCCAAAACCGTAGCCCAAGCCCTGGAGTGATCCCCTCTTTCTCACGCCCTTGTCTCAGGGCAAAGTTAGACCGCGTGTCAGGTGGCTGGTTCAGGTTTGGCGAGCTGACCCGTGGGACAGATCGACCTAACGGCCACTGCGCGACCATTGACGCCAGAACCTCTGAAGGAGTCGCCAGGTGGCACTATCGAGGTCGCTCGCTACTCACTGCGTGCCGTGCCGTGGTGGGCTCGAACGACGGCCGGAAGCCTTGTTTGCAAGCTCGAGGATCGCGAGAGTACTGCTGCCGTCAACGCGGCGTCGATAGCCAAGCTCGTGCCACCAGTTAGTCGTTGCGCGTTGGCTGCTCGGAACCACCGCTCAAGGGTTTGCTGCTGTGGCGCTCGTGCCAATCTGCTTACCGTAGGAGCAGGAGAGCACTTGGAGTGGAGGCGAGGAGGGCGGCGCCATGGCCCGAGCTGATTCGTTTCCGCTCGCGCACCTCGCGAGTCCGCTCATTACACTCCTCCCGGTTTCGCCCGCCACCCACGCCGTTCCTTTCGCCTCCGCGCTTTCTGCAGCCGCGCTTTCCGCCGACATCTCCCGCCGACGCTCCGCGCAAGTTACCTGCTCCGCCTCTCCCTTCCCCCTCTCCCCCTCCCCGGACTCCTTCGATCCTCTCCGCGGCAGCGGTCTCGCCGATGGCTCGGGGGAGCGCGGGACGAGGGGACGACAGGGGCAGTCGCGGCAGCAGCGGCAGCAGCAGCGACAGCAGCAGCGGCAGCAGGAGCGGCAGCAGCGGAAGCAGGCGGAGTGGCAGGAAAGGTCCGAGAGGGTGCGCGAGAGAACGGTTCCGCTGAGTCGCCGGCCGGATTACAGCGACGCGCTGCGCTCGCTGCAGGCGGACGAGTCCGATCCGCCGGAATTCAGTCTCCTCACGGCTTCCGACGGACGGGGGGAAGCAGACGGCGCCGGGCTGAGGCCCGGCGGGAAGAGCAGTAGCGAGAATGGACGCAGGGGTGGCAGAAGGGACAGCAGCGCGAGGGAGGGATACGACGGGGGAGTGTACCGGGAGGGCGCGGATCCCCTCCCCTCGCTGTCGTCCGTTATGGCCGCCGCCGCCGCCATGCCCGCGCAGCGCCAGCGGCAGCGCGCGTCCCGTGCCTCACCGGCGCAGGCGGAAGTGTGGGTGCAGCAGCGCGTGGTGGAGCGCGTGGCGGAGGACGTGGAGGCGGAGATTGCGCGCGCGTTGGCTGAGCGGCGCACGGACGACGCGGTGAGGATGCTGTGGCGGGAGCGGCAGGGGGGGCGGTGGGCGGGCAGCCGCTGCTGGAGCCGCGCGGTGGCGCAACTGAGCCTCCGCGGGCAGTGGCGCAAGGCGAAGCGGCTGATCGACGAGGTGTACCGCGCGCAGGCTGGCGGACAGATTAGCAAAGGGGCCGCAGGGTGGCGGGCGGGCGGACGGGCGGACGGAGAGGCGCAGATAGGGCGGGGGGAGGCGTGGGAGGCGCAGTGGTGGGAGGAGAGAGCGGCGGGGGGCAGGAGTGCGAGTGGCGGAGCGGGAGAGGGGGCGCTGTTCCGGGAGGTGCAGGTGGACGAGGACGCGCTCGGGCTGGCGGTCATGGCAGCGGCGCGCAGCGACTGTGCTGCTGACGCAGGTGAGGAGACACCCCACTCGCTCGTCCCCCCATCAGCCCATCTCCGAAGGCGCGCGCTGATGGGGCGCCTACATGCGCTAGTGGCCGCCCGGAGGGCGGTGGCGATTTGAAAAGCACTGTCCTCACCTATACCAGCCATGCTCTTCGCCCTCGTCCTCCCCCCTCTCCCCCCCCCCCTCCCCCTTTTCCTCCTTGCAACGGGCCTCCTAGCGCGCATGCTGCTTTGATGCGATTCCTTAATCCCCCCCCCCCTCCTCCCTTTCTCCTCGATTCACCCGTCAGCCGATCTGTTAGCGCTGATGCTCCGCGAGGGCCACGCGCCGCGCGTGGCGGTGTGGAGCGCCGTAGTCAGCCGCATGGGGCGGGATCCCGGGCTGGCGGCCGGCGCCGTGAGGCTGTTCCAGCGCTGCTGCGACCTGGCTGCTGCCCAGGTGGGACGGCTGCCCAGGTGGGATAGCTGCTGCCCAGGTGGGATGCATGCTGCCCAGGTGGGATGCATGCTGCCCAGGTGGGATGCATGCTGCCAAGGTGGGATGGATGCTGCCAAAGTGGGATGGATGCTGCCGTGCCTCACAGGGCCGCTTGCCTTGACTGGTGTTGTGCTGTAGGGTGCTGTGGTCAGCCGCATGGGCCAGGATCCCGCCCTTGCTGCCACTGCTGCTGTGAGGCTGTGAAGCACTGCTCATTCCTCCCCACCCATTCCTTCCCTCCCCTTCCACTCCTCCCCTCCCTCCCTTTTCCCCTAGGGCGCCACTCAGATGCGGCCCGACACAGCAGCCTCACGGCGGCGACAGCTTCCTGCGCTCCGTTGCACACACACGCCTTCCCACCCGCACTGCCCCCTCCACCCCCCCACCATCCACCCCCGCCTACCCCCCATCCCCCGTCCCCATGCCCCCCCAGGGCGCCTCTCACATGCGGCCTGACACAGCGGCTTTCAATGCCGCCATCAATGCAACAGTGACAGCTGGCGACCTCTCATTGGCGGAGCGGCTGCTGGCGGATGGCATGGCTCGGGCTGGAGTGACCCCCGACGCCATCAGCTTCAACATCCTCATCAAGGGGCGCGCGGCACACGGCATGCCCGAGAGGGCGAACGAGCTGCTGCAACACATGATGGTGAGGGCAGGGCATGGCAGGGCATGGCAGGGCATGGCAGGGCATGGCATGGCATGGCAGGGCATGGCAGGGCATGGCAGGGCATGGCAGGGCATGGCATGGCATGGCAGGGCATGGCAGGGCATGGCATGGCATGGCAGGGCATGGCAGGGCATGGCATGGCAGGGCATGGCATGGCAGGGCATGGCAGGGCATGACATGGGAGGGCATGGCATGGCATGGGAGGGCATGGCAGGGGCGGGAGTGGCTCCCAACACCATCATCAGCTTCAAAACTCTGTCCAAGGGATGGGCGGCACACAGCATGCCCTACACAGCACATGCATCGCTGCAAGATATGCTGTTGAGGACCCGCGGTGAGGAGGCCTGGGTGACGCATGGCGGGGGCGCGTGTGTGTATGGACGCTGCATGCGGGCTCATGGGGCTCCTTGGAACCTGCCAGCCCTCTTGTGTCCCCCCCCCTGGCTTTCCCACCATGTCATCAGCCTTCACATTCAGGGCGTGCAGCCCAGCTTCATTCAACTCACTGCTGCCACCACACGAAGCTGCTGACTGCCTCATAGCACAACCTCTTACCGTCTCTCCCCACCCCCCCACCCAATTCTCCCCCATTCATCGGACCGCACTGTTTGCTTGCAGGTGCAGGGCGTGCAGCCGGACGCAGCGTCCTTCAACTCGGTGGTGGCGGGGTACGTGGCGTGCGGCAGGATGGGCGAGGCACAGGCGGTGGTCAGGGCCTTGTGGGGGGCGCAGGGGGAGCAGGGGGAGCAGGGGGAGCAGGGGGAGCAGGGGGAGCAGGGGGAGCAGGGGGAGCAGGGGGAGCAGGGGGAGCAGGGGGAGCAGGGGGAGCAGGGGGAGCAGGGGGAGCAGGGGGAGCAGGGGGCAGAGGGTGATGGAGGAAAGGAGGGGAGAGGTGCGGGGGAGTGGAAGCTTCAGATGCGTGTTGGGCCAAATGTGCGCATGCTATCGATTCTTATCAAGGGCTTGGTTGCCGCCGGCGACTTAACTGCTGCATTTGAGGTCTGTTGGCTCCCATCGCCCTGCATTTGAGGTCTGTTGGCTCCCATCGCCCTGCATTTGAGGTCTGATGGCACCCATCGCCCTGCATTTGAGGTCTGATGGCACCCATCGCCCTGCATTTGAGGTCTGATGGCACCCATCGCTCTGCTTAAGCTTTGCCTTTTAATTTGTTTCTTGTAGCCAGTACTCGTCAACCTATTTCCGCCTCTCAGGATCTTTTTTTCCTGCATGCTCACAATGTGTTCTTCCCAACCCCCATCTCTCCATTCGGCTTCAATTTAGGGACTCCATGTTTCTCCCCCCTCCCCATCGCGTCCTCCCCGTCCCCCCCCCCCTCCGCAGCGGTTAGAGCGCATGAAGCGGCGGCCCGCCACAGCCCCCAACCACATCCCATACGCCATCCTCACGCATGCCCTCGCTCTCCTTCTCCCTTCCTCCCTCCGACCGCTCTCCCTCCCCGTCGGTAGTGGTTTGAGCTCCCAAAGCAGCGGCCTGCCATGCGCGCCCTCATCTTGCTCGCCACTCTCACACACGCCGTTGTGTATCCTTCTCATATCGCCCTCCCTACTATACCCCCTCCCACTCCCCTGCTACCCGCAGTGGTTTGAGCGCATGAAGCAGCGGGTCGACACAGCACCCAACCACGTCACATACGCCACGCTCATGCACGGCCTCGTCTCCTCCCCGCCTCACCTCATCCCCGCGCCCGTGCTTGCACGCGCTGCTGCTGCCCACGCTGCAGCGCCCGCCACTGCTGCCTGTGCTGCCGCCCCAGCAGCCTCTCCCGCTCGCCTCCCTGCCAGCAGCGCCAAGCCACAAGGTCCGCCTCAAGCCGCCGCCCTGGCAACCACCGGCACGCCTCCTCCTCTTGCTGCCTCTTCTTCCTCACCCGCCCTGGCCTCTGGAGCGCGCCTGGCAGCTCTGAGAAAGCCAGTGGCTGCATCGGCTGGCGCTACACTGGCAGGCAGTGGCAGTGTCAGCAGTGGCAGTGGCAGCGGCAGCAGTGGCAGTAGCAGCATGGATCTTGGTGGGAGGAAGGCAGCCCGTGCAGGTGACCCCCTTGAGCGGCAACGCTGGGGAGCTGAGCCTGGTAGTGTTGCGGCCGCGAGCAGCAGCTGCGGCGAGCCTCACAGTGGTGTCACTCCTCACAGTGATTTGACTTCCTTGGGTGCGGTAGGTGGGAGCAGTGACAGGCGGACTGGTGGCAGCAGCAACAGCAGCAGCAGTGGCAGTGCGGTGGTGAGGGCAGGCGTTGATGACGTGGCAGTGAGGGGAGAGGCGGAGGACCTGGCGCTGGTGGCGGCGTGGCAGCTGCTGGAGGAGATGCGCGAGCGCGGCGTGCCGGCCAACGCGGCGGTGCTGAACGTGCTGGTGAAGGCGCTGTGCGCGCGCGGGCAGATGGACGCAGTGGAGAGGCTGCTGAGAGACATGTGGCGTGGTAAGGGCGCGGGTAGGAGTGAGGGGAGGAGAGCAGTGCAGAATGGAGTAGGGCGAAGGAGCAGGGGATTGAGTGATGGTGAGGCGGCAGTTGCAGGGGAGGGCGAGGCGACATGTGGCAGCATGGCAGCAGTGGGAAGTGGCAGCATGGTGGAGTGGCAGCACTTAAATGTGCCATCCCCTGCACCCACTGCTGCTGGCGAGGCTGCTGGCGAGGCTGCTGTTGCGCCCGGGGATTCAATCCCACCCGAAGCACCCACGTGGGAGGTGAGGCCCAACGCCGCAACCTTCGCCACCATCATGGCTGCGTGTGGGAGGGCGGGCACATGGAGCAACTCCCACCCCCGCCCACACTGGACTGCCCAGGCTCATGCAGTCACTGCCTCTGCTGGTGCCACTGCTGGTGCTCTCACCCAGGCTGATTCTTCTGCTGCTAACACTATTGTGCGCTGGGCAGCAAGCGGCGGCGCTGATGGCATCACGAGCAGCAGCGGTGGGGGCGACAGCAGCTGCCTCACCAACGGAAGCAGCGGTGGCTCAGAGCAGAGTGGCGGCAGGGCAAGCAGCAGCAGTCGTGCATGGGGCGGAGCGGAGGCGGCGCTGCAGTGGTTTGCGCGCATGCAGAGGGAGGGCGTGGCGCCGTCCGTGCAGGTGTACACAGCGCTCATCTCCGCCCTCGGCCGCGCCCCTGATGCCGACCCCGCCCGCGCCCTCGCGGTCTTTGAGGACCTGCTGATCGACGCAGGTGGTGGTGGGGGTGGTTTGGGAGGCAGAGGAGGTGGTGGCAGAGGGGGGGGGAGAGGGGGCGTGGGAGGGGGGGCAGGTGGGGTGGTGGAAGGTGGTGGGGAGTTGCGGGTGGATGCAGCAGCGTGGGGAGCGGTGATTGACGCTCAGGCGAGAGCGGGGTTGGTGGACCAGGCATGGAGTCTGTACCAGCGAGCCAAGGTGGGTGTTGTGCCCCCCCACTCCCCTCTTCCCCGCCACCACATGCCTGTCAGCCCCACAGCCTCACCCGTGGCTTCCTCCGCCTCCTTCCTTCCTGCATCAGGCAGGTGAGGCATATGACAGCATGGCACTCGTTGTGCCCTTTGGGATCCAAGGCTGGGAATGCGCGGGAGGGATGGGAACACCTCCACGCCACCACACATATCGACACTCACCTACCCCCTCTGCTTGCTGCCATGCCCTTTTCTTGTCCTCCGTTCTTCCTGCAAGCAACGTCAATTGTCCCCACCCTAGCCGTGTCCGTGGCTTTGGGTTGTGCACCGGCAGCAGCAGAGAGCGCACGCTGCCTAGCGCATTCTCTGCAGCTTCTATATACCTTCCCCCTTCCACATGCACGAGGCGTCTGTCACCGACACGTGTGGGTGCGTGGTTCATGCACGGGCGGCAGCAGAGGGGTCATGTGTGCCCTCAACAGCATGTCTGCCTTCTCACTTGCTCCCACCAGTGGTCTTGGCGCTGTGGCATGATGTGAAGGAGTGGCTTACAGCATGCGACCTGCTCTTCTTCCTCCCCCCCCTCCTGCGCTCCCCACTGCAGGCAGCGTCCATCGCCCCCACCCCGGCCACCTATGGGACTCTGGTTCGAACGCTGGCAGCAGCAGAGAGGGCTGGGGAAGCACTGGTGCTGTGGCGCGATGTGAAGGAGCGACTCACGGGGGCGGAGGGCAGGGAGGGCAGGGAGGGACTGATGGGGCGGGCTGGCAGGGAGGGGAGGTTGGTGGGGCAGGCCGGAGTGGGAGGGAGAGGGGGTGATGGAGAGAGTGACGGGGAGGAGGAAGGAGGGCCGGGGGAGAGTGATGGGGAGGAGGGGAGAGTGCTGGAGGCTGCCGAAGTGGGCGGAGAGAGGGAGTGGGTGAGGAGTGGGCGGCAGCAGGCAGGTGGCGTGGGGACTGCGAGAGGGAGAGAAAGAGGGGTGATGAGGGCAGCAGGGAGAGCAGCAGGAGGGGCAGGAGGAGCAGGGCTGTGCGTGGATGAAGACGTGATGGATGGGCTCATGGTCATCTTCATGCACGCAGGGTATTTCCAGGTGACATTCACGCCAGATCCTGCCCATATGCAGCTCCAATTCAGACTCCATTCAGTGAGGGGGCTTGTGTTGTGGGGCGAAACGAAGGGCAGGGAAGGCATGAGAAGCAGTAGTGTGTGCGGATGGGGGCATGGGTGCCTTCATGCACGCAGGTACAGGTGACACGGTCCTGTCCTGGTGCATCATGTGTGCTCGTATTCTCCCTCATCCCTCTCTCCCTCTGGTCTCTTGGTCCCCTGCAGCATCATTGACAGTTGACGAGCGTCCTTGCCAATGCTCCCCCTCCCCCTCACCTTGCTGCGTCCACGGGAGATGGCCCAAGTTTGGACCGCAGGCCTGGCCCCGACAAGCTAACTGCAAGTGCTTGCTCATCCACACACTCTCCTCCACCCTCCTCCCCCCCCCTCTCCCCCCCCCTCCCCCACTTCTCCCCCCCACGTTGCAGCGGGCGCTGGAGGTGGTGGAGGCGATGGAGGGCGCGGGGCTGGCGCCCGACCGCCTCAGGTACAAGCGCATGCTCATCCGCTCGCTCTCCACGCGCCGCCAGCGCGCGCTCTCCGCGCTCTCCAGCAACAGCAGCGCCACTGAGGAGTTCCCGGGGCCGCGCGGTGTTGAGGCTCTCAAGTTCTGGCTGGGGCTGCCCAACAAGCTGTACGAGACGGACTGGAGCTGGCGGGATTAATATGGTACCCTGCCTGTGCGGCTGCCATTCCACCTATTTATGGCGTGCCTACTCTGCCAGTCATCCAACCATAGCTTGTTCCAGCTGAGAAGGATCCTACCCATAGCTACTGGTACCACTAGTGTAGGTGTTGAAGTTACTCTCTTACTGACTTGCCACGAGTACTGCCGTACCGTATTCCCCCGCAGTACCGTATTCCCCCGCAGTAACACCCGCCGAAATAGTCACTCCATGGGTGGCATATGCGGAGCATAGCTTATGATATGGTACATTTTTTGGAGCACCCTTTTTTTAGACCTTGCATTGTACATAACACCTTCCGTCATTTTTTCACGGCAAATCCTTTTTTTTTTTTCAGAATGTTAGAGCATCAGTTGCAGCAAATTACTCAGAGCTACTCTAAACTATGCTAGCTACACCTACATGGCGTACTCTACTGCGTCTACAATACGACGTCAAATCTACTCAATAGTTACGTCTATTATCAATCCTCCTCATACTCCTATCCAGCATGCCACACCTCTGCATCTTCATCGTCGGAGGCAGTATCATCCCAGTCGAAATCATCAGTCCAGCGGGACGCAGCCAGGCCAGCAAGAACCTCCGCCGCCGGCATCTCTCCGCCATCGCCCTCGTCATCTTCGCCAGCAGGGACCTCTGCTCCTGTTGCTGCTGTTGCTGAGGCTTTTGCTGTTGCACATGCTGCCGTGTCCAAGGACGAGTCTACTGCTGCTGCTGCTGCTGCTGTTGTTCCTGCGACATCCGCCTGCGGCGTTCCAGAGGATGAGGCAGAAGCCGCAGCACAGCATCGATCTCGGTCTCCACATCTGGCTCGTCGTCCTCCACGTCTGGCGCAGCACTAGGCTCGATGTACTCCACGTCGTAGAAGGGATTCTGCGGCCCAGTCTCCTCCATTTCGGCGTCCACATCGTCCATTACCTCGACTTCCGTGTCGTCCCACATGTGGGCAAGAATCACCTCGTCCTCTGTGCCGTCGGTCGCGTTGGAGATGCCGCACGTCTTGAATGCGCGGCGGATGAGTTCTGCTGGCACCGCGGCCCACGCGTCAGCAATCCACTGCAACACAAGCTCGGCCGGTGGTTTGCGCAGGTTCCCTGGCAGGCAGAAACAGAAACATGGCACGATAGTTAGTCTTGAGTAAATAACGGGGGAAACGCAAGCCATGTGAACCACAGTCAACAAAAGACTAATCACAGAATACACGTCGACAACAAAACATGGTCCTCACCAGCAGTAGTGGTCGACTCGCAGCCAAACTCTTCGAACCACTCGCTGTACGATCGACGGACGTGCGCCTTGACGCAGCGGTTCACTGCCACGTCCAAAGGCTGTACGATAGGCGTGCATCCGCCGGGAATGACTGCACAGGAGAGCTTGAACAGGCGCATCAACTGAGACACTCCCTCAGCAGGCCTGTCGTTATCATAGTATTTTACCCTGACTCCCTGATTTCACAGGGTATTTTTTTGGCCAACCCTTAATTTTCAGGGTTGGGCTTTTTTTAACCCTAACCTCTTCAGGGTTGTATGTCTGTGAACACTTAGAATTTCAGGGTTTGCGTTATCCCAAAACTGAGTTTTCAGGGAGTAACACGTACGAACCCTGAGTGCGACATCCATGTGGCTCACAATGCGGAAATTTAGGCGAAGTCCCCAATCTCCAGAGACATTTCCCCCCACACACAACCTACAAAAATTGGTGAAGTCCTCAAACATTCCCTCACACACCAAGCAACCCACAAAAATCGGCTAAGTCGTGTGTCGTACAGACATCCCCCCTACACACCTAACAACAACCCACAAAAATTAGCTAAGACTTGATAGGCAGTGACAGCACAAAAAAAAAACGGCTTAGTCCTATTGTACACAAGTTATCCCCCCTCCCACACTCCCACAACCCATAAAAAAGGCTAACGGTCAAGTCATAGAAGGGTACTAGCGACAATGCTCTCTTAAGGAAAGTTTTTTTATTGCCCGTGTGGTCAACTAAATGTCCATCAAACTTTGACGGCCACGATCAATCGCGATCGTTTCGACAAATTTCAGCCGTTAGATGATCGCGAAAGATTAACGTCCTCGATTTGCCCATGGCGCTGCAAGCGCGGGAGGTTTCTGCCACTGCCCCATTCACCTCGATCCCCACCTCTCCCTCCGTTTCGCTTCCCCTCTCCCCTCTGTTTCGATTCCCCCTTCCCCTCGGTTTCGCTTCTCCCATTCCTCTCTACTGTATTTCGAACCCCCCCCCCCCCCCCCCCACTTTTTCCCTCCCCGTTTCGCTTCCTCTCTTCCCCTATTTTTCCATCCTCCCCCTCCCCCTCCGTTTCGCTCTTCCCCTCCCCTCGATTTGATTCCCTCCCCTTTTTCCCCCATTTTTTATTCCCCCCTCGTGTTGAAGGCAACCCTGAATGCGTTCGGTGAACCCTGGGATTTTCAGGGTTCTTGATTTCTGGACACTTACAAATCAGGGTAGGCAAATTTTGAACACTGAGCCCTCAGGGTATTTTTTTTTTTGTAGTCGACAGCTCAGGGGGGGTTTTTTTGAAACGTCAGGCCTGTCCCTCAGTGAGGTGTCCCTTGTACGAGTCGAGGATCACCAGCGCCTTCTGACGGCCACCACGCCTCGCAGGGATGGTGCGCAGGAATGGCACGAGGACGGTGATGACCCAATCCTTCACGTGCGCCTCGTCCATCCAGCCCTTCTCCTGGGCTTTGATGACAATCCCTGCACATGCAAATAAAGCGAGATAATTAGTGGTCGTCGATATCTTGGTGAAAGAATATTCAATGGACGCAGGCGTAAACAGTTACAAATGATTATTACCTGGTGGGACTCGGATGCGCGGCAGAGTTTTCCGCTTGAAGATGACATCTGACTTTCAGTTTTTTGCCGCTTGCTGTGACTGCCAGGATGACGGTCAATCTCTCCTTCTCGTACCCGGCCGTCCACACATGAACCGTTCTTGAACCACGGATCTCGAGGGTGGTTTCCTGCGGCATCTCTAGGAAGAGTGGCGTCTGATTGGCGTTGATGATCAGGTCGTCGGGGTACTCGTTCAGCATGTGGAGTTGCCGAGCAAACTCCCAGAATTTCTCAACCTTGGCTTCACAGTCTGCCAGTAGCAAAAGACACGATACAAGAAAAAAGAGCATCATTCTCAGTCGACTGTAACAGGTGTCGCATGAACGCAGCATGGAAATAGAGTGGCAAGAGGGGAAAGACCATGGGATGGGACGACAGCTTACTAGCGGTCATGCGTTGGCCCATCTTTGTCTTCACGCGCTTCATCAATCCCCAGTGGGCGCGGAACCGGAACATCCATCGCGAGGAGGCACGCCAGTCGACGCCGGGGTGGTGCTTCCTCATGTACTTCCGGCTCCATTTCTGCAGCGTGCTGATCGAGACAGCTAGCCCACGTGCGCGGTGTCCAAGGAACTTCTTGTAAATCTCTCGCTCCATCGTCGGGTACTTCGACTTTCTTCCGGAGCCGATGAGACGACGCCTGCAACCAGCAGCAGCAGTGAGGCGAGCCTTGTTTTTCTTCCAGTCACGAATCTGGCACGTCTGCACTCCAGCCATGCGAGAGAGAGAGCGCTTGGACAAATCCGGATCAGTCTCCATCTTCGTCAGCCAGTAGAGCTTCTCGGTAGCCGTCCGCGCGACTCGCTTTCGATTCGTCCTGCGAACTCTGGGGGAGGGAGGTGCAGCATCACGGTTAACCCTGGGCATGGTAGGACGACGTTGTGCTTGTGGGAAACGGGGAACGCGAGGAAGCGGGCGGGGAGGTTCAGGCTCGCTGTCGGTGGCCTCCTCCCAGTAAAGCTCGTCATCGTCATCTTGCCACGCGTTGTCCCACTCCGGGGGACGAGTGGCTATTGGCGACCAATGACCAGGTGGAGCAGGAGGAGCGGGCGGCGCTGGTGGGGCAGGAGGAGCAGGTGGCACACGTGGTGCAGGCGGGGCAGGCGGAGCAGGAGGTGCGGGAGCTGCCGTAGAAGTTCTTGGAGCCGGGGGAACTGGTGGGAACGGGCTAAGCAAGTCTGGTTCCCAAACTGAGGGCGATGAGGTCGCAACAAGGCAACACCACTAACTGCTTGAGCGGCCATGGATCGAATGCTAGACGAAAAGGTGTCGCTGCTAACTAGGCGACATTGAGCAATGCTCGAGCCTCTGTTAGAGAGCCCGGGCACTGCAACAGGTTTTGAGAGTGAGCGAGCCGATCGAAGAGCAAGAATGACGATGCAGCAAAAAGAGGTTCGAGAAGAACCGTGGCCGACTCCCAAAGCCGAGTCGTGCACGGTCTTGGAAAACACGATGAGACCATGCATGCTGGTCCCATCTACCAGATTCCCTAAAGGAATCTGGTCAAGCACTTTGGCACGTCGATGTCAAGCTGGCACTATAATGCCCCCCTGGCCGTCGATGAATCTGTGTCAGCAGCATGAGGCTGCTTCCCTAGCGTTTTTGCAGGTGCGGCTGACTTCGATTGGCCACAAATGCAGAATTCCAACACATAATTGACAAGCCGGTCCTAGTGGAGGTGAGCGGCTGTCATCCAAACCTCGCTAGAAGCTACATTGTGTTTCATGCTTCTCATAGAGCCCGTTACAGCCCAAATTCATTTTGCAATTTACATAAGACATGGGCTTTATATTTTTCCAGCCTACTGTTAATACCCACACGCTATTTTTTAATGAATTTTTGACAATACCATAGGGTGTTATATACGGGGGACCAAGATCCCCCGTATATGAGAAGATCCTTCACCAAGATCCTTCATGAGAAGGGCGGAGCTCAGAGCAGACTGGACAGCTGCCATCTCGGCTGGATCTCAAGCGACTAGAATGAAGTCGTCGATGTAGACGAGGATGTAGAAGGGCTCGGAGGAGTGACGAATGAAGAGACTAGAATCTGAGGCGGAGGGATGGAAGTCCAGTGCAAGGAGGACTTCCATCACCTTGTTGTGCCACTCACGAGGAGCCTTCTTGAGGCCATACACTCGGCGCTTCAGCTTCCACACTGTGTTGGCAGGGTAAGTGCCAGAAAACCCCGGTGAGCGTTCCATGTGAACATCCTCCTTGAGCTGGCCTTGGAGAAAGGCGGAGGAGGCATCCATGGACTTGATCTCGACGTTGCTGCGAGCGACTATATCAAGAAGAGCGCGCATAGTCGGGAGCTTGTCCGTGGGCAAGAAGGTTTTGAAGAAGTCGAGATACTCCTTCTGGGTGAAACCCTTCGCCACGTATCGTGCCTTGAACAGTGGAGCTTCACCTGGGAGTTGTTTGACTCGGAAGATCCATTTTCCGTCGACGATGTTGAT